TGCAAGCTTTTGAAAACAAAAGGCCTTCTCGAGTAATGTGTCATCCGTAATGTGACACACGTTATCTATATCCAGGTACACCTGAAGCTCCCAGGGAATCTTATCCTAGGGGACTGTCCGTGAAAAGCCAGTAAATTCCCTGTAAACTATACAGGATTGTGCTTGGGGCCCTTGCAGTATGCTGAGTAATGCCCCCTGTCCCCCCCAAATGTCTATATCCTAATACCAGAACATGTGGCGGTTTACATCACGTGGTGAAAGGGATTTACATCACGTGGTGAAAGGGCCGTTGCAGATGTGATTATGTTAAGGATCCTGAGATGGGGTGGTTTCCCCGTTATCCAGGTGGGGCTGAAGTAGTCCCAGGAGTCCTTGTGAGAGGCACACAGGGTGGCTAGATCAGAGAAGCTGTGACGACAGGAGCAGAGGCCCGAGGGATGTGCTTTGAAGATGGAAGATGGGGCCAGCAGCCCAAGAGTGCAGGCAGCCTCTAGAAGTTGGAGGAGGCAAGGAAATGCATTTCTCCCCTGAAGTCTCCAGAAGGAATGCAGGCCTGCTGACATATATTTTTTTAAGAGACAAGGTTTCGCTCTACTGCCCAGGCTGGAATGCAGGAATGCAGTGGCACTATCATAGCTTGCTGTAACCTCCAATTCCTGGGCTCAGCAATCCTCCCACCTTGACCTCCCAAAGTGCTGGAATTACAGGTGTGAGCCACTGTGCCCAGCACCTGCTAACACCTTGATTGTAGATTTCTGACCTCCCGAGCTGTAAGCAAACAAATTTGTGTTGCTTTAAGCCATTAAGTTGGTGGTCATGTTTTGTAGCAACAACGGGAATCTAATGCAACCTTTCTCAGGGGAGGGTCTATAGTTGTTTACCAGATTTTCACCTGTGGTGATGGTCAGATGATGAACAGTCACTAGTCCAGGGCATCCCCCAGGCCCCCAGACACCCCTGTCTGCTGTCATGACACCATCTTCCTCTCCTCCTTCTCTGGCCTCCATCTTTCTATGTCCCACATCTGAAATGCCAATGTATTTTTTTAGCAGTAATTTCTTCTCTGGGAAGGAATTTGAGAAGCCCAACAGAACAGCCTTCCCTGTCACGTTAGAGCCATAACAGGTGCCCATGGAGGTAACTCCTCTGGCCTCCAGTTCCATCTAATGACAGCTGGCTCAAAGCCTCCCTTTCCAAGCTGCTATGGCCTCAGTGGGGAAACTGGCTCTGGTTCCCACTAAAGCAACATTGAAATAGGCCCTTCTGTTTTGGGATAAACCTTAGTAGCTGCTAAAGGTCACAGGCTAGTGCCCAACTTGGGGTTATCTGTCAGTCACACACCCAGAATAGCAACAGCCCCTTGGCAGAGTCCTCTGGCTTCCCTGTCTCCCCTAGTTTCCCACAGCAGCAGTTCAGGGCGCCTGTCCTGTGGTGGACCTGGACCTTCAGAGATAGCCTGGGAAGTAGACGGAGGTGAAATGCACTGCTAGGGGCATGTAGAATTAAACCCGTGTCCCACAGACTCCAGAATCCACGGACGTCCACTCTACCACTACAACAACTATTCATTCACTCAACAAATTCCACTGGGCTCGGCACCTGTGGCTCAAGTGGCTAAGGTGCCAGCCACATACACCTGAGCTGGTGGGTTCAAATCCAGGCCAGGCTCGCCAAATAACAATGACGGCTGCAAGCAAAAAAATAGCCGGGGGTTGTGACGGGCACCTGTAGTCCCAGCTACTTGGGAGGCTGAGGTAACTCCTCCCAGGAGTTGGAGGTTGCTGTGAGCTATGATGCCATGGCACTCTACCCAGGGGGACAGCTTGAGGCTCTGTCTCCCCCCACCAAAAAAAAACCAAATTCCACTGTACCACCATGTCCTGCTAGTCATTCATTCAGCAAACATTTATTAAGTGCCTCCTGCATGTGGCAGGCTTGTTCTAGGACTAGAGAGAACACTGAACAAAAATGACCAAAATTCACACCCTTGAGAGCTCACAGTGGCAGCACTTTCCAACAGAATAGAGTTTGAGCTCCATGGATAATTTTAAATGTCCTGGAAATAATGTCTTTAAAAACTAAAAAAGATGGCTTGGCACCTGTGGCTTAAGCGGCTAAGGTGCCAGCCACATACACCTAAGGTGGCAGGTTCAAATCTAGCCCAGGCCCACCAAACAACAATAACAGCTGCAACCAAAAAATAGCCGGGCATTGTGGCGGGCACCTGTGGTCCCAGCTACTTGGGAGGCGGAGGCAGGAGACTCGCTTGAGCCCAGGATTGGAGGTTGCTGTGAGCTGTGATGCCATAGCACTCTATCCAGGGGGATAGCTTGAGGCTCTGTCTCAAAAAAAAAAAAAAAAAAAACTAAAAAAGACAAAGAAATAGGCAAAGTTTATTTTAATAATATATATTTTTAACTGGATATGTCCAGAATATGTCATTTCAATGGGCAGTTATTAATAATATAACAATGTTAGTGAGATCTTCTTCTCATCCTACTAATTCTTGGAGATACGGTATTTTACGCTTTTATGCTTTTACATCACATCCCAGTGCAGACTTGCCACATTTCAAGTGCTCAAGAGCCACATGTGGCTAGTGGCTGCTGCATTAGACAGCACAGTTCTTGTGTAAAGCAAGATCCTTCCCACATGCCATCCTACAGCACCTGGGCGTGATTGTTGCCAGGTCACCCAGGGGAGCTCAGCAATCCCACAATCTGTCCACCAGTCCACTCCTACCACCTCCATCTTGAATTGACACTGGCTACAGTGGTGGGTTGCTGTGGAATTGGGGAACCAGCATGTCCTTGTGGGGTTGGGGAGGTGCTGGGCCTCAGCTCAGAGGAGACCTCAGTTGGTGCCGTGTCACCCTATCAGGGACTTGAACAAGGCCACTCTCTTGTTTTATTATTGTGGCTACTATTTTATTGTCTTCTTCTCTTCTCTTCCAGTCCATTTTTCCTTCCTCTCCAGGGACCCCCGTGCTGATAGGGTTAATGGGCCTCTTGTTTGCTGTAGTCCCATAGGTTCGTCTTTCTGTAATAATTTCCATGGAGGGTAATGTCTCTCTCTCATCCTGACTTATCTTTCTTCTCCATAAGTTCTTTCACCCAGCTCTTTTATTTCTCTGAACATGTGTTTATAGGGACTCCTTTGTCCCTGATGTTTGTTCCCCCAAGTGCCCACCTGATTCATCTTCAGGATACCTCAAAGAAACTGGGTTTGCCATTGTTCTCTAAATGTTCCAGCTCATTCTCTGACTCATCAGCTCCTCCTTGGGTTCTCAGCTTACCCAGTGCTGATACCGGACAGGCACGTGGCACCCTAGTTGGTCTTCACATCCACTGGCTTTCCGATACTCAGAGAAAAGCTTGCCCGGGGTCGCAAGGCTACCGGGTACAGAGCTGGTGGTCTGAGTACAGAGCCCTGGCTCTAAGGCAGATCTGATGCCCAATGGACCAACCTTGGCCTATCAGACCTATCAGATCCAGGAGGATTCCCTGGAGACATGGCTTGCAGGAAAGAAGGCCGGGCAGTCCTGGCAGGAGCTCTTTTTCTGAAATGTCCTGAGAGTATCAATTACCTGTAGATGCTCAGAGACCTGAGACACGGAGCTTTAATCAAGGTGAAAGCTTCTCTCCCCCCACACTTAAAAGATGAAGGCGGTCGTCAGCCCTGAGTTTTTAATCCCTGGCACCCTGCCCTGGGTGAGTCTCATCTGTGGCATGTGACAAATGTGTGGTGCTTCCTGGCACACACTCATCTCATCCCTGCACCCCTCCCACACAGCCAGACAGCCTCCAGGCCCTGCCACACCGGTATGCTGCTGTGCCACGGCCTCACAAACGTGCCCTGCCTGGCGTGTGAACCCCGGTGAAGAAAGGCAGCACTGTGGCACAGCCGGATCACGCCGTTTTGCGACAGCCAGCTGGGCACATCTCTTCCCAACTGTAACGTCCCCAAGAGCATGTTGGTAGCTTGGTAGTGCTGGGGTGGGAATATTTACATCACAGAATGAGCAGCAGCAATCACTACAAATCAGGGCTGTGTCTGTCTGTCTGTCTGTCTGTCTGAGAAAAAGAGAGACCGCCCGCCCCCGCCACGGGCCTCCCCATTTTAACCTTAACTCCAGTTTTATGATTCAACATCCCAGCATCAGTTATTTATATCACATCCAGATGAGTATCAGGGTTGCAGGGGACTGAGTGACTCACCCAGGGGAAGCTGGTTTTTATGAAGGAATAATGACACTACAGAAAACCAGGAATTTTACCCTCCCCGACCACAGAGAATGAAATCGGCCCAGGAAAGGTTTGTGGCAGCCTGGACATGGGGCCGGGGCTCATACCCTGTGCCATGACTGGGAGGCCCAGGGCGGTGAGGTGTGCTGCCTCTGGAATCAGGCACATCTGTTTGAATCTTTGCTGTGCCATTTGCTGTGTGACTTTGAATAAGTGGCTTAACTTCTCTGAACTTAAAGCTCTTCATTGATGAAGTGGGGACATTCTAGAAACTTTTTCTTTTTTTTAATTGAATGGTAACTGTGTACATTAATGCACTTCTGGGGTACAGTGTGGGGTTTTCACACACAATCCGAAACACTTCCATCAAACTGGTTAACATAACCTTCATGTCATTTTCTTAGTTATTATGTTAAAACATTCATATTCTACTCATAGAAAGATTGACTTGTACCCTTGTAAGATAAACCACAGAAGTGAACCCTCAAATCTCCCTCCCCTCCGCCCACTCTTCCCTCTCCTCTCCCTCCCCTCTCCCCGTATTCTTAGGTTGTTGACGTTCTAGAAACTTAGTTGTAGGGTTCTTGGGACACTGAGCTGTGGTAATAGATACTAACTAATAAATTAGAATAGGATATGAAAGACATGAATAATAAATCATTAATAAGTAAAAGCAAAAATGCATATAATGAATGAGCACTGGAAGTTTTATAAATAAAAGCTAAAATGAAATAACAAATCAAATTAATCGTAATAAGTAAGAAATAACAATAATTGATTGTAAAGCTCCCTGCACAGCGCCTGGCCCTTGAGAAGCACTTAGGAGAAGGTTCGCTGTTGTTGCTATGATTCCAAAGTGTTAGCAGAGAAAGAATCGAATGGGACAAGTGGCTTCCTAAAAATCGGAGGCAGGAGCTCGGGCTAAAATGCTACAGGTACAAAACTCAAGTATAAAATGAGGTAAGGGGTGAGGAGAGAGGACTTAATACTCAAACGAGCTGTTGGCAGGAGGTTTGGGAACCACTTCTATCAAGACAGCATTGCTGTGGCTAAAAACAAAAATGTCCAGATATGGGCAGGACAAACTTTCTCAAACCAGGTCCTAATCTCCAGAATCAGGCCAGTTTCATAAAAGTCTGGGAACAGAGAGGACTTGCTTGTGCCGTGTCAGCCTGCAAAGGGCTGTCTGCCTCCCCCGTCTACCAGGAGTGTTGGTTAAAAAACCCTCATAAATAAACTTCAGCCCCTTTTGTTGTCGGGACTTTGGAACAGCAGTTCTGAGCCCCCCAGAAAGTGGAGGGCCTGCTGAGTCAGGCATGACAATGCCTTGGTCACAGTTTTCTGTGCCTGCAAAGTTAGAACAAGCGTAGACTTGGCTCATTCTCAGAATCCTGGGTTAAAATGCAAACCTGGCAGAGGAAGTCCAGGTTGCCAAGCCGCCCTCCAGCCTGGCCCCAAGAGGAATGGGCACAAAATTCACCCAGGGATTCAGGAGCCAGGCCCACTCAAACCAGCCACGGGGTAAGTAAGCGGTCTGTGCTGGCAGGTGCCACGTGCAGCTGGGAACAGGGGTGCTGCCTGTCGGAATTGGCTAGGCCTGCTCAGATAAGTGACCCCAAACTGAGTGGCTGAAAACAACACTGTTCTCTTGCAGCTCTGAAGGTCGGAAGTCCAAACTCAGTGTTCTGGGCTGACGTCAGGCGGTCGGCAGGGCCGGGTCCTTCTGGCTTTTGTGGCCTCCAGGAGGCACTTGTGTCACCTGGCTGGTGACAGCTTCCTCACATCCCTCCAACCTCTCGCTTCCGTGAGCAGAGCACATTCTCTCCCTCGTGTAATCTTTTTTCTTCCTTCTTATAAGGATACTTGTCATTAAATTGGACCCAGCTGGATAATCCAGGGTAATCTCTCCCATCTCAAGATCCTTAACTTAATCACATCAGTAAGGGCACTTTGCCTTAGAAGGTACCAGTCACAGGTTCCAGGGATGAGGACCTGGAGAGCTTTGGGGACCGGGACTCAGCCTACCTCAAGACTGTTTCCCAGTTCTGGGGAGCACAGGGCAGTGCATGGCAGAGACCCCTGAGCTGGACTCAGGTGTCTCTCTGCCCCTAACACGACTGGCCTTGCCTTAGTCCCTGGGCCTTCCTGGGCCTCTGTAAAGACAGGTGGGTGCTCACCTGTCCCGGCAGGTCTGATTTTGATAATTAGCATGCTCTGCCAGGCACCAGGTTAAGGACCCCGTGGATTAACTCACTGATCTTTCAGTTTTATGGTCCCTCAAAACTGCCAAGCAGGCTCCTGCCTCAGGGGCTTTGTCCTGTGGCTCCTTCTGGAATGTTCTTCCTCAGGTACCATGATTCCCTGCCTCACATCCTCCAAAGCTTTGCTCCAATATCACTTTCTTGGTCCCTGTGTGCCTGACCGCCATGTTGTTTTGGGGTTTTTTTCCAGATTAATATGAGGGTATAGACAATCAGGTTACATCGTTTGTGTGTGTTAGGCCAAGTCCAAGTTGTAGTTGTAACCCTCACCCAGGAGGTGTGCCATGTGCACTTGCAGTGTCCCTGTTTGGGGAGAGGACACCAATCCCCCTCCCTTCTGTCCTCTCCCTCCCCTTCCCCACTCGAGTTCATCTTCTGGTTTCATATTAATATTGAGTCCATTGGATACTTGCTTTTCTATCCTTATGATCCTTTAAGTGGAATGTTTTCCAACTCCATCCAGGTTAATACCAAAGATGTAAAGTCTCCATCTTTTTCATGGCTGAATAGTATTCCATGGCATACACATACCACAGCCTGTTAGTGCATTCCTGGGTTGATGGGCACCTGGCTGCCGCATTGAGATCACCACCCCCAACCTGGTCACATCCTTCTTGGTTACACTTTCTGCCATTCCACAGAATTTACTCTGACAGGCGGGTTGTCTGTGAGCTTCGTGGGGACAAGGCCTCTGTCTCTTTTGATGGTTTCTCTATCCCCAGCACTTAGAAAAGACCTCAGTCTGTGGTAGGTGCTCAGTTAATTCTGTAAATACTTTATCGAATACTCTTAACTCAAAACTCCAAGCTCATAACTTGGAAAACCCAGTGAGGCCAGATCCCAGACTAATTCCCCTTTTTCAGATGAGAGAACCAAGCCCGACAGAGGTGAGAATTATCTTGTCTAGATCACTATGAAGTAGCAGAGCTGAGATACACACCCGGCCTCTGGTCGGAAGCCCCCCACACTCGTGATCCCACAGCATGGTGGGTGGTGTGGACGCTCGCCAATGACCTCTCAGTCCCTGATTTTAGAAGTTCTCATCTCTGTCCTCCTCCTCTTTCTTGCCCTAAAATGCCCCTTGGAGAGAGGGAACCAGATGAATCTGATCAGCGTCCAGCACTGCCTGCTGTGGCTGGCATCCTTCCTTTCTTCCTTTGGGAGGCCACGCCATTCTCTTGCTCCTTTCATCCCCTCATCTTCCCCTCTCTCTACTTTCTCTCTCTTTCTCCTCTCTTCCCCCACTCTCATCCATCTCTTTAAAATAAAATAAACTTTTGCCATGTCCAGATGGCAGCAAGGTCCACAGGAGACTGGTGGGCAGCCAGGAACACAGACCAGAAGCAGCGACTGGGTCAGGCTCTGGCCTCTCCTCCCGCCTCCCCAGACCCCAGGGCTGAGCCTCAGAGGCCAGCTGTCCAGCTCTTAGTGACGGGAGTTCTGCCCTACTTGGGTTTGGTTACTCAAGGTTGGCTGAAGGGCTGGCTTTCTGCTGCCCCAGGGAGAGGACAATTTGAACAAGGAGGCTTTGTGGACAAGGCCACCACTTGCCAAGCTGAGCCTCTCAGCTTCCCTGTGCCTCGGTGTATTTCTGGATAAAATCTACAAATCTAATAGTCCCTCCCTTACATGATGATGGGTGGGGTGGAATAAATGAGCTAGGTCATGTAAAGCACCTAGCGTGTGTGCCCTGACTGCGTGCCAGGGGCCGGGAGCCAGCAGGTGGTCAGCGCATGTGCTCTGGGAGTGGGGCGCTGGCCGTTCATCCCCACAGACACCGATGGCCAGAGCCTGGAGAAGGTTCACGGTGTCAGACCCACGACGGGCTGATGGTGACAGGATTCTGGCTGCTGCTGCACATCCCTCAGCGCTGTCCTGGCAGAGGAAGGCATGGAGATGTCACATTTCCTGAGAAATATCGGATGTGACCGGTTCCCGGTGCCAGCCTTCTAAAGAAGGCTGCGTGCCAGTCACCTGCTTTGAGAAAGATACTATGTCTCAGCTCCTGGTAAAGAGACATGCGGTTCATCAAGTTGCCCCTTCCCTTTACGGCCCCTGGAGTCTGCAGGATCACCTTGTCTTCCTTAATTTCACCAACACTTAGATTAGCAAGGAGTCCCAGTGGGGTCAGATCTTACAAAATTCACCAACATCCTGTGTTTGGAGTAGGGGGAGGGAAGCTGCCTCTTTTCTGTGTAAGCCGCGGTAGGTTCTAGAAGAGGCCCACTTTCCCGGCTCTGTGGGATTCCTCAGGTGGAACCATCCCCCGGACCCCCTAATCTTCTCCTACCCCGTGGCTTCATCCATGGGAAGTTTACAGCCACCTCAAGGCCCTGCCAACCTCCACCGACTCTTTCTTCTCCCCACAATGCTCAGATTCTTTTCACGGGCTCTTTATACCTGCCCCATTCAGGAGCAGACTGGATGTTTCAATGCTTAGCTCTTAGAGTCATGCTGACCTTGCCCCTGCCTTCCACTAGCTGTGTGACCTTGGATAAATTATTTTACCTCTCTGAACCTCTCTATAGATAAGTGTCTTTATCTGTAAAATAGACCTAATGACTCTTAAAGGATTACTCATGGAGAAAGCTCCACAGAGGGCCTGGCCCGGTGTCCAGATGGAACGTATGTCTGCTCTTTCTCTGATCCTAAATTCCCTTCCATGGGGAAGAATCTCCCGTCTCCCTGCCTCACACATCTGTGTATCCCCCAAACCCCCTGGCACACAGTGGCGCCCAGGGATCGTTTAAATCAAAACTTTCAAAATGGTCATTTTTAAAAGGAACATTCTCCTGTCACCCCTCAGGCTTTGGTGATGAAACCGTTGTGCAGAATGTGGAGGCCTTGCCCAGGGAGGGGCCCCCAGGGACTCAGCCTGAGGGAGCCCGCCCCGTGCAAGGCACAGGTAGACTCGGGAGTCCCGACCCTGTGGCTTACCAGCCCTGTGACCTGGGGCCTGCAGCTTACCCTGTCTGAAACCCAAAGATGGTAAAGCTGGTCATTCCTTGAAGGGTGAGCGGCGTGAGAACGGAGAGGTCAAGGATGGAAAAGGAGAGGTTATTCTGGAAGGAAGGAAAGTCCAGGTTCTGGAGTCCTGGACTTTCAGAAAGGAAGTGAGTCCAGGTTCTGTGCTGGCTACGTGGCCTTTATTCACTCGGGTGCCAGGAGGTTGAGTTCAAAAAAGAAGTAAGCAGGGTGGGATTATGAGAGTGGGGAAGGAGGGTGTAGGGATTAGTTTACTCATACCTTCCTGGGCGGGATGGTTCTATTTGGGCGGGTCCCTACCTTCTGTCCTATCTAGGATTGGGTGAGCTTAGAAAGGTGCCTGATTCGTGCTGAGTGTCACTGCTGCTGGGACAGCTGTTGCTGCGACTGTTCCTGTGATAACTCTGCCTCGCAGATTCTTCACATCCTTTCTTCGTCTGGTCAGCTCTCTCCGGCTAGCGGCCCTCTGTCCCCCGCCTCCGTCTTATGTCTCCTTTGCACGTTGCTTTTTGTTTTTCCCAAGTGCACATCTAGAAGATCCCTGGCGCTGAGTTGAAACAGGAACCTGACACCCTTTGACCTTGGTCCATGGGGAGGTGTCCCGAAACTCCCTCCCAGGCGGGACAGGGGCAGCAGTAGCTATCTGTGGTTCAGAGCCTTTCATCCCACCCCCACCCCCACCCCCCACACCCTCCACACCCCCACCCCCGCTGCTTGGGACTGGGACTCGGTGACAAAAGTGATTGTGGCTGAAACTTGGCCGAGAGAGCCCCACTGAATTCTTCCTTTGTGATGTGGATGTAGCCCAGCCTCGTTCCCTGTGAAAGTAGCCAGGGATCCTTTCCCAATTATGCAGCTTGACGGGACGAGGTCGGTGGAGGGAGAATGGTCAAGGAGCCCTTTTGTCACTGGGGCTGGTCACGCTGCCAGACACCTCTGACTGGCAACACCTCCTTCCACTGAAGCTGACCAGGCTGGGCACCTGCCAGGGCTGCAGCACAGAGCTCAGTGGCTGCCTGGGGGTCTAGGTGAGATTGCAGGTTTCTAAACTGTGTCCTGGTGGGGTTTTTGTGGTTCTGTGGGAGGAAGCCAGGGAAGCCTCAGCCATCCTTGCTTGGGCCCTTTGCCCCATTTCAGCCAAAGCAGCTCCGTTTTCAGTTGTTGGGTTTTATTTCACTCATTGTCTTTGCGTTCAATTTCATGGACACTCAAGCCAGGTGTGAACTAGGAGTGATGACCCCACTCGGGTCTCAGCCAGGTGGAGCTGGCACCAAGGCCCCCTGGGCACAGCCCCTCCCTGCTGGCTCGGGTTGGCCGTGGATGTGACCATGAGTAAGAGGAGTCCTGCTGGCCGGGCGGGCGTGGTGGTGCACGCCTGTAGTCCCAGCGCTATGGGAGGCCGAGGCGGGTGGATCACCTGTGCTCAGAGGTTTGAGACCAGCCAAGACCCCCCTGAGCCAGATGAGCCAGAGTGAGACCCCGTCTCTACAACAACAACAGGACAACGAGACAGCCGGACCTTGTGATTCCAGCTCCATGGGGGGCAAGAAAACACTACAGGAGGAAGAAGTAATAAAAAAAAAAATTAAAAAAAAACCTTCAAAGTAATAAAGTTGAAATAAAAAAAAAAAAAAAAAAAAGAGGAGCCCTGCCCAGGATGAAGAGTGAGGCTCAGGGCTCTCCTGCCCGCCTGCTGACTTCTCCCTGGGAAGGTCAGGAAACTCCTTGAAACCTCAGACCCCACCTTCTCGGGTCACAGTGGAAATCACATTTATTCTAGACACCTTTCCCATGTTGCCAGGCAATTGTTTGCATGCGGATACAAGATTTGTGTTGCCCAGTTAAAGTTAGCTCTTACTAATCCTCCTCTGCAGTGCCAACCTCAGACTGGGAATTTCCCATCATTGATACGAGATACTGGTTAAAGTTATAAGCTTGCCCAGATAGTCATTTGTTCATTTTATAAATATTTATTAAGTACCTGTTAAATTTCCTGGAGGGTTGAGTATACAAAAATGACAGAGGGAGACAAGAACCTTCTTTCAGAGAGTTGACCCTCCAGTGGCGGAGACAGGGAGCCCACCAGGGGTGGGGAACGTGCAACCTTCGATACCAAGATCATTCTTGTTTCAGCAACAAAGGAGAGAAGAAAAGCTTCATCTTTCCCTGCTGCTCCCCTTTTAATAAAAGGGTTTTTTCCATGTGCAGTTTGGATTCAGTCAGCAGGCCACACTTAAGGACTGAAGTTTCCATAAGGCCTCCCCCAACCTCTGTGTGAGGGAGAGGGCATTTTACAGAAGGTAGTCCTCCTGACTGAGGAGGTAGCATTTGAGCTGAGAGAGGGAGGTAGGGAAGAAGTAAGCAAACAAAAGAGATGGGGAAAGAGTGTTTTCAAGCAGGAGATAACAGCAAGTGCAAAGGCCCTGTGGCTAGTAGTGCCTGGCACAGGCCACTCAGCGTTGGGGAGCCAGAATAAGTGCTGAGCGGGAAAAAAGAGCCCAGTCTGGTCTGGGGGTGGGGGGGTGTGAAGATCATGGCAAAGGAGTTTGGATTTTATGCCAAGAGTAATAAAAATATGGACCTTTGGGAATTCTAATTACAAAATATTTCTGCCAATCAAAAGAGTATCTATAAGATGTGTGTGAATTTTAAAGAGTAATATGATAAGTAAACACCCATGCAGCCCTCACTATTCCCTCCCCCAATACTATTCATCATTCCGCCACTAGGTCACTATTTTCCTGAATTTTAGTGTATCACCTTTGTTTTTCTTCCTAATATTACAAAACAGAGCAACCTGTTGTTTGGTTCTGCCTGGTTTGGGACTTCATTTAAAATGGAATCCCACCGTGTGTATTCATTCTCCTCGAGTTTGCTCTTTTGCTCAACATGTTGGTCAGAATCGTGCTCACTGGTGCACCAAGCTGGAGTTGCCTCGGTTCACTGCTGTGGGTATCCCACCAGGTGACGCTATGATGGCTGACCCTTGCTTCTGGGATCTGACGTGATCTGACTTTCTAATGTTGAACCAACCTTGCATTCTTGGGATAAACGCAACTGGATGGCGATCTATTATCTTTTTTAAGAACCTCGTTGCATTCCGTTTGGCTGATATTTTGTTTAGGGTGTTTGCTTCTGGGCTGGTGGGTCAAACTGGCCTATCTGATTGTCCTGTCCTAACTTGCCCTTTTGTGGTTTTGGTACCCAGGTTATGCATTTCTCATAAAAGGACCTAGGCATGCTTCCTCTTGTGTTCTCTAGAGTATTTTGTCTTAAGACAGATAAAACTATAGACAGGTTTGATAAATATTAGCTGCCAGATTGTTATCCTTCTGCTACCTGAAGTTTTGTATAGAATTTTGACTTCTTTTGGTTTCATTTTTCCCGTACGTATACTTACCCCAACTCCTACCCTTGCACCCTTCTCCTCCAAAAAAATAAACAAAGAAAATACATGCTTCCCCCAGGTGTACCTCAAATTGAAATGCTCACAGCTTGCTCATAAAGCTGTATCTCTGTGGGTTTTTTCTAGGTGGATCTCTAACTCAAGATTTTAGCATGAGGAGTTTCTTTCATGGCTGCCCTGGGTCTCCCCAAGTAATAACAGGTAGGTGCCTCTATCACTGGTTAACAGTTTTTCTTTAAACACCTATATACAGGCTCGGCGCCTGTGGCTCAAGCGGCTAAGGCGCCAGCCACATACACCTAAGGTGGCGGGTTCGAATCCCCAGCCCG